AAGAGTATCAAGAATGGGAAGAGAAAAATTCTCTTTCTCGGTGTTATATTATAGCCTCTTTAAACAATCCGATACACCGACAATTTGATAAGATCGAAGTGTCCAAAGATATATTGGATAGTCCAAAGACTATGTATGAAGAGCARAATCGTTCTACTCAACAAATGGAAGGGTATCGAAACTCACGAACTTGTGTATCGTGGACGAACTTGTGTATCCACCCTTTGTGGTGGTATAATTCACGAACAAAATTGTTCTCTGTGGTGGTATAACTCAATTGAGCTTTCGAGAGGGTACGACTTGCATAATAGATCACCACAGGACGTTTATCCACCCTTTGTCCCAAAACGGCTCCAATGGTGTTGTCGGAGGCATCACACATGATTTCAAAGGGCAAAGACCAGTCGAGAGGTTGCAGAATTGGAGCCTTGGTCAGTGCCCCTTTCAAGTACTCAAAGGCCTTAAGTCATGTGTCATCAAAGTTGAATGGGACATCTTTTGCTAGAAGGTTGCACAATAGTCTGGAAATTTGGGAGAAATCCTTAATAAATTGTTAGTAGAAGCCGACATGTCCAAGAAAAGAACAGATTTGCTTGATAGAAATGGGAGGTGGAAGTTTAGAGATTATGCCGATTTTTGCTTTATCCACCTCAATACCCCGTTCAGAAACTATGTGGCCTAAAACAATGCCTTCTTTGACCATAAAATGACTCTTCTCCCAACTGAGGACCAAGTTTGTCTCGATACATCGTTGAAGAACTTTTCATAAGTGTTCGAGACATGATTCGAAGGAATCCCTAAAGACCGAGAAATTATCAATAAATATTTCCAGGAAATCACACACCATTTCTGAAAAAATTGTCGTCGTGCACCTTTGAAAGTCCCGCAATGCTCCAGCACCCCACCTTTCACTATTTCGTCCTGCAGAATCAAAGAGAAACAAGAATTAAACTGAGAAAACGGATCAAGTAATAAAACGAAGATAAAATAATAATGAAACAGATCCGGATAAAGCAAATAAAAATTTTTCTCTGTGCTCCCCCGGCAACAATGCCAAAAACTTGGTGTGTCCGGAAGCGTGTCATTAAACACTCCGGAACACCAATTTAAACATTTATAATTTTTTTTCGTTTCTCACAACAACTATAAACGAAGTAAATGGTGAGAACGGGTCGTATCCACAGGGAAGCGAGGGGAAATTTATTACAAACCTTAATCCAGGTAAAAGAATGCAAAAGGAAATTGCAGAATCACAAAACTTTCATTAATTAAATTGGAATTAAATAAAAATGGAATTCGAACACTTCTGAAAATAAAATAAATAACAGCAATAAATAAACAATAGAAATTAAAAAAAGAAGAAATTTGCAATTCGATCAAAGGTAGTTGTCTCCAGCAATAAATAGCATAATAGGTGGCACCCTAGGATTTAGAAGCTTCAAAGGAGAGCCCTAAAATGGATGGTGGAGATTAGGAGTGGATGGTGGAGATTTCACATCTGGGGCGGCTAGGGTTAGCTAAGGAGGAAAAAATTAGGTTAAAAAGGCTCCCTAGGGTTTTCTAAGGAGATGGGAGAATGGTAATACAGTAGGATGGGCGCTAACTGGGTTTAGCAGATAGGAGGTGCCCTCCTATTCTCAGTTCTTTACAAAAACACCCCCTCTCTCAGCTGGACTTTACACCAACTTCCCAAAAACTGCACTTCAGTCATAAAAACTTCCCAGTTTTCTACATAATTTGCACAAAAACCCTCAGAGGTTGCATAATTGATTTTAATTAGGAAAAGAGTACACTTCGGCTATTGTAAGACCGAAAATACCCTTGAATTGATGCCCTTAAAGCATCAAAATTCAAGGTTATCAATACTCTCTTGAAAGTAGCAAACAACATGTAAAGAGAAGGTTGGAACACATTAGAGCCTCTCTTGAAAGTAGAAGCACCCTTTCTGAAAAATAACAACCTTCTTTTTTTTAGCCTTCATGTGAAGGGAAAAACTAGAGACTACAGTCTTTACTCTCTTGCCAATAGGACAAATCAATAAGGTTGAGTCCTTTCCTTTCTTTTGAACAGAGTAAATGAGAAGCTAGAAACGTATCAGCCCTTTCTAGCTTCTATATTTATCTAAACCTATGTCCTAATCATAATAGGACTTTTACTTGGCTCAATAATTGAGACTACACTTTAAATAGTGGTCTATACTTAATTACTTAAAAACTTTTTAGGCCCATTGACATATAACTTGGGCCAATTCTAGTTTACAACATAGGACCATGCTTATTAGTTATAACATCCCTAACCCATTTATCCTTTAAGCCATATGTATTGATATAAAAGTTTCTTAGGCCCATTAGGTAATGGGACCACACTTATAACATTCCTAAGCCCATTTAATTATGGACCCTTTAAGCCATATGTACATGCATAAAAGTTTCTTGGGCCCATTAGGTAAATGGGGCCACACTTAAGTCATATAGGCCAACTTAAAAACAAGTAAAATAATAATAATACAAAAAAAAAAGAAATGAAAGCCTAGCAATAAATGTGTAGGCCCATTTCTTTTGTAATTTTCGGTCCATTAAAGGGGCTCGCAACATACTTTACCACATTTAAGTCCTAATTAAGCCTAACTTGTAAGAATCTGGTCTAATCAATTAAAAAAATAGCCTAAGCACTTTAACCTCAAGCTATTCTTGAGCTTATAGTGTACAAGGGGGCACTATTAAGTTCTTAATTTTGTTAGACTGGAAGCAAGTTATTAGATTACTCCCAATCACAACTTCAAAAAAAAAAAAAACAAAGAAAACAAGATTTCTTTCCATTAAGTTGAAACAATTTAAGAAAGAGAGGGGCCTACAATCAAGTATAGTGAATAATATGTCCCAAGTTAATTGAACCTTATTTATAATGCAATAAGCATTTAATGGACCTATAGTAGAGCCCATTTAGTGGGATAACACACTCTAAAATGATTATATTTATATTAATTAATAATCTTGTGAGGTATCCCACTTATTTATAAAGGGGATGTTAGTCGACTTATCCTAATAAGAGGGATATTTTCCCTCCTTTAGCCACTTGAAGTAGGGAGACACATATTACCCTAGGGAGAGAGTTATTTTCCCTCCTTTAACCACTTAAAGTGGAGTGACACATGTCACCCTATGAATAGAAGATTCTTTTCCCTCCTTTAGCCACTTTAAGTGAGGTGACACTTGTCACTCTAGGAAAAGAATAATCTTTTCCCTCATTTAGCCACTTTAAGTGAGGTGACACATGTCATCCTAAGAAGGAAGAGCTTTCTTTTCCTTAACCCATTTTAAGTGGGATGCCTGTTAACACACTAACAAGAGAGGGGTGGAAAGATACTTAACCACCTCCCTCCCCTATATAAACCTCTCTCCTACAAGTAGGGGTGGCAACGAGCCGAGCTTTTCACGACCTGCTCGAGCTTAATTCGTGAAAATCTCGGCTCAGCTCGGTTTTAGCCAAGATCGAGCTCGAGCTCGAGCTCGAGCACAATTCAGTGGCTTGATTATTAAACGAGCCGAGCTCGAGCCTACTAGAGCTTGGCTCGTGAGGCTCGCGATATATATATACATATATATATATATATATATATATATATATAATTCTTAGTTTTTTAAATATAAAATAAAAAATATATATATTTTTTATTTTTATAAAATATTTTTTTCTAAATAATTTTATAATAAAAATAATTATAAAATATAAAACGAGCTGAGCCTAGCCGACCTCGAGCTTATGAACTTTTGACTCGAGCCGAGCTCGAGTTCAAGGTTCTGGCTCGAACTGAGCTCAAGCTCGAGCCTTATAGAATAGTCTCGAGCCGAGCTCGAGCCTAATACTATTCGGCTCGGCTCGACTCGAATCCACCCATACCTACAAGGAGAGAGGGTTAATACTATTTTGTTAGCTAATGTTATTTTGTTGACAGAATTTCCAGCAACAAAACATAATCAAGTTTAGAAAAAGAAGATTATTGTGGTGTGGGGAAAAAAGAAGAAAAGGATAAAGAGGAAGGTAGGGATTGAAGTGTTCCTCCCCTACCACTTCACTATGATACTCCTACAACTTCCTTTATGAGAACCGTCTTTCCTTCTACTTCTTTCACCTTTATCTCTTTATTATTATTATTATTATTTTTCTCTCATTCTACATCCTTGTCCATGAAAGTTGACTGGTTATGATTTTTCACACCATATTCACCTATAAAATCATTACTTTATATGACAATCATCTATAGCCTTATTCATGAAACTTGGTTGATTATGGTTACTCACACCATGATAATGCACATAACACTATTTAAAGGATGGACATCTACAACCTTATTCATGAAATATGACTACTTATGTCCTTATTTGCTTGTTATGCACAAAAAAAGTTTATTTATTTATATTTACTAGTTTTAAAATAAAGAGGAAATATATACTAGAATTTTCAAAGAAACATTTTATATTAAAATTCTACTTAGTTTAGTCTATTCACTTGTACTTATAAGCCAAAATCAAGAGGTTTTCTCTACCCCTTGTAGAGATATAATTAAAGGGATGTCTACATGATTTCCTAAATGGGACTAACCCAAATATTAAAACACCCAGTTATTAGTTTAATTTGGTGAATTATGTTATGTGAGAAAGTGTACTAAAGATCCTCCACTAAGAGGAAAATATAAGAAAACAAGCATGAGAAGAAAAACAAACATAAGAAAAGTTAGATTAAGAAAACAAACAGTAACACTGAGAACCCAAAAAGAAATTAAGGGGAATAAGACAAACAAACCCTGCAATCCAAAAACAAATAGTAACACTCACCATCGCAATGGGTTTCAACCTTTACACTTCTAGAATAAAGAAAATAATTGTCAACATAAACCCCTATAATTGGAAAACAAAGAGAACCCCCAAGATTAAGGGGAAAAATCCTACCAAATCCCTACAATAAAAAAAAAAAAAAAAACAAATAGTAATACTCTCTACTACAATGGAAATCCACCTTTTCACCGACTGAACCTTCATGAGCACCATCTTTGAAAAAAGCAATTACCTGATGAAGAAGCAATACTCGATGTAGTAACTTGTGACACAGAAGGAAAAGGAAAGATTTTTGCTCTAGAAGACTTCTCCAGACACCCAGAGAGACAACAAAGAAACCTCACCAGAAATGTTCCAAAAAATCCAAGCCTAACTCCCATGATAGACACAAGGGGGAAAAGAAGGGGGAAGAGAATGGGAGGGGCAAAAATGCTCGATATAGCTTTCAAGAAGGTTGGAAGACATTTCCCACATGGGGTGGGCCTGGTAGGGGAGCACATGTGAAATCTAGGATTTCTCTTTCAAGGGTCAAATAAACTTCGCATGCATGAACGTACAGATGCAATGGCAACAGCAACAACTGGTGATGAATACTGAATCTTTCCAAAGATAAGGGGGCAAAATCCGCCAGTGACAAATGGTGAAAAGACCAATGGAAAGATAGGGTTTTAGAGAGAAGGTGAAGCCGGCCAGTGACTTTTTTCCCATATGTACAAAACTATCAATAAACTCCAAAATCCAAAACATTAAAAAACACATCTAAAAATCAATGAACCAAAACACCTAAAAAACATGTCACAGTAGAAACCAATGTACCTTCAACAGGAGGAAAGCACAATGCCCTACCAGTCACCATGCACAAGACCTGGAACGCCACAAAGTAAGAGAACAGGACAAGAAGGAAGAAACAAACGCTTGGGWGCCAAGGAGAGCACAACAAAAGGGGAGAAACAGACACATGAAAGACAAGATAGGGTTTCGAAAAGCACAGAAGAATGTAAGTTAGGGTTTCACCTGAGAAAAAAGAAGCAAGTAGGGTTTAGAGAACTTCAAAAAGAGTAGAGGATAGAGTTCCGAGGACATAGGCAGGAAAAGAACCGAAAGGGTATTTAACACACTCGACAAACATCCCATGTGCAGACATAATAACACTAAGGGGGATAACCTCACATTCACTATATGAATACCATGTCTAGGGATCATAAAGGCTAGGGGGAGCAACCTTCCACGCTCCATACCCTTCCTATGTGCAGATACCATTTGTTGCAAGGAGAGCACGCTGTTGTACACCCATTTTGTTGTTAGTATGTATATTAGATGTTGGAATCTTGTGGCAATGGAAAAACCTGATGGGGTTGTGAATGATCATGGATGCATATATTTACAATGTTTTTTTGAGTTGATATGGAGCAGAAAATACTGAAATGGCAATGTCTAAAGTTTGTTGGTTTGTAGTTTGTACTAAAATGCCAACATCTAAGGTCTGCTGCTTTGGACAAAAGATCTGAATTTTGAAAGCTGCAAAAAACAAAGCCCAAACCAGAAAGGAATCTGTTTTTGCTCACTTGTTCTATTCATGCAGATCATCAACCTACCAACAACATCAATTATTGAATGTGTTTCCATTGTATGCACTGTTAACTGAATTTTGACATCATTCAATCTCCATTGATATATGCTGCACCAACTATACATGCATTTGTGCTTCCCTCTGCATGTGGTACCAACGATAACATTCAGAATTCACTCTTTCTTTCTTCTTGTTCTTTTGCCCATCTAACAATTAAATTGATTGTTCAGCAGCTTGTAACATTACCAATTCTTGCCACAACCTCCTTTCTTCAGTGAAGATATTTCCAAACATACTTCTATTCCATCTACTCAGCACACCTATGGAGGGGTCAACTGATAATGTTTTCGACAAGATTTCACTCATTCTGATGGTTAGAATTTAGTTTGACATGAACACAGTCTGAGGAGATGGCCATGCATATAGGACATTTTATCCATATATGTTGGTATGGGGCTTTACCTTCTGGAGCTTTCCCCACTCTAAGATATTCAGAAGATTCATAGGATAAGTCACCAAAAATCCTTACAAGAGCAGGCTCCATCAATGAATCTGTGAAACCGAACTCGGTCCCTGACAATGATCTCCCGCTCATATATTTTACTGATTAATTTTGTCACCTCATGGCAATCCCCACAGAACCTTAAGTTCTTTACCACTCGAATCACCACAGGAGCCTTTGTCTTTAGTAATCCATAAGCAATAGCCAACCTTTCACTGTGCTCAAAAAGAGCATTTTCTTTCTCTTCATCACTCACATCATGTAGAACATCTGATGTACATGGCTCATGCCCAGCATGACGAATGCGATCAGATATATCCTCCAAAAGTCTAGTTATCTCCTTTGTCTCTGGGTGGGATCCATCAGCCATCACAAACTTATGTATAAAACCATCAATCTCTATTGAACTGCAACCAGGAACCAACTTCAGGCCATTGTCCTTCATCTTCTTCCTCACATATTTCGCTTTCTCCCACTGTGAACTTGATGCATACATATTTGATAAAAGAATGTAATTCTCCCCATTCAAAGGCTCCAGTTCAAGAAGCTGCCCTGCGATAATCTCCCCTTTATCCAAAAGACCACTCTTCCTACATCCTACAAGTAATGTCCTCCAAATTACTGGATTTGGTGATATGGGCATGGCTTCAACAAAAGTGCATGCTTCTTCAACAAGGCCAACGCGACATAGCAGATCAACCATGCAACCATAATGCTCAATTGATGGTTCAATTCCAAGCTTGAGCATGCATGACCAATATCTCCAACCTTCAGCTACCAGCCCACCATGAGCACAAGCAGATAAAACACCAACAAAGGTTGCCTTATTAGGCTTAACCTGTAGGAGTTTTCAAAACGAATTAGTTAACTTGCCAGTATTTGGCATTATGCAATTCTCTTAAGCAATTGAAATAATGAGCACTATCGTATTACCTTCATTTCTACCATCTGAGAAAAGAAATGTAAAGCATCCTCTTTAAGGCCATGAATTGCCAAGCCCATGATCATCGAGCTCCAAGCTTTGGTATCTCTCATAGGCATCCCATCAAATAATTCCCGTGCTTTCTCAATGCACCCACACTTAGTGTACATGTTAAAAAGTGCAGTACCGAGTTCAAGATCGACATTAATCATATGCTTATCAATAAATGCATGGACCCATCTTCCCAAGCCCAATGCCCCAGCAGCAGCACAAGCAGAAAGTACACTGACCATGGTAACCTTATCCGGACTAATCTCTGTCTTTTGCATTTCCCTAAACAAACTCAAAGATTCATTAACCAGCCCAGTTTTAGTATACCCACTAATCATGGTGCTCCAAGCGACTAAATTCCTCTCAGGAATTTCATCAAACGCACATCTAGCAAACCGAATCTCCTCACATTTTGCATAAAAATTGACGAGTGCAGTTTGTATGAACTGACTCGAACCGAGCCCGGATCTCAGAACATGGGAATGGATCTGCAGTCCTTCACTAAAAGCCGAAACTATTGAACACGCCTTGAGGACAAATGCCAGGGTGAAGCTGTTCGGACTAGGGTAACCCCTTTGAATCAACCTTTTGAATAAAAAGAACGGCTCTTTAGATGGGATTTCCAGAAGGGAACAACCCCTGATCAAGCAATTCCAAGAAAATATGCTTGGGTTTCGAATCCGAGAAAACACACTTCGGGCATAATCAATGTCCCCAACAGGCGAGAGGGCACAAAAGCCCACGATCTTGTTCAGAGCGTAAGATAAGGTGGTGGAGGGGAGGCCCTGTACTAGAAAATGGGCGTGGATTTGGTGCACAATACGCATGTTCGAACATTTTTGGATTAAAAAATCAATGTATGCCTCTTGTTCGAGCTCTTCTTCTTGTGGGGTTTTTCTGGTAGAGAGGGGGACGACAAAGCTCATATCTCGTATGTAAAGGTTTCGGACGTCTCCCCTGTTAGAACAGTGACCCGACTAATGTCATGGAATAGGTGGAACAAGTAACCCAAACAAAGAACAGACTGAAAAGAATAAAATCAAATCAAAATAAAAACGAAATGGGTATATATCAGTTTATCCCACTGATGCTATTGACCATGACCATGCCAGCAGGTTGTTCCGAGAAATGAAGGGAGTAGTCCTTCAGGTGAACAGAGCACCAAAATTGCAGTGTGAAAAACCAAACAATGAGCTTTTCTACCACTAAAATTGATGGCAGTTTTATCCAGCATTTATGGAGTGGTGCTCTTTAGATGCAGCAGGAGATCTTCTGGCTCTGTATTCGAACATCCCCTGATCAGCCTTTGCAGTGCTTCTTATGGCCAAGCGACCTTTAATCCGGTGGATCCTATGAATTGTTTTGAGCAGGTTGAATCTTCAATGGCTTTACGTTAACGGATTCAGGAATCTTCTGGCTCATGCTCTTGCAACCTTAAACCGAAGCAATGGATTTGGGTTTATCAGCTTCCGCGGAGTCTAGGGGTGAAAATGGATCGGATAATGATCCGATCCGATCCTATTTTGTCGGGTTTTGGATTGAATCGGATAATTCGATCCGACTGAAAGGAATCCTATCCGATCATATCAAATTCGGATCACCCTTTCAGAGTTGAAAAAAATACTTATATATTTTGTTTTTCTTAATATAAACTGTTATGATTTTTATTATAATAATTTGTTAATCACCATTTATGAGATCTGATTGGATCTTTAGGTTCGAATAAATCTCAGATATGTGTTATCAGATCGAATTCCAATGTACCTTGATTTGAATCCAATCTGATCCATTTGCATCCTTCGTTTCTTTCTTCCATGAACCCAACTAGGAATGGCAATGGGGCAAGGTGAGAACAGGGAGCCACTCCCCATCCCCAATGGGGATCCTCATGGCCTGTGATTTTTTTATATTGTCAATTATTTTGTTTTTTATTTTTTATTTCATTTAAAAAAAATAAAATATTTAACATTTAAAATTTTATTAAAAATATACAAATGTATTAAAACATATTCAACTATATTTTTAAAAATATTAATATACATACATACATGCATGAGTTAATGGAGGGGGAGTAGAGGCAACAATGTCAAAAAGTTTAACGAAAGACAATACTATTAGCATAAAGTAAGGCATTGAATTGCAATTATCAAAAACTATAGGCGAGGTTTAAGCAATTTACTCTAACTTAAACGCCCATCAACTATATAAGGGCTAGTTTCGGGGGGGGGCATCTTTGTGAAGTAAAAATTAACTTTGAAAGATCAAAACACCATTCCAACAACTATAAAATGACTAATTTTTAAGGGTATTTTGGTCAATTAAATTACTTTTAATTCCTACACCCTTATCCTCTCTTATTTCCATTACTCCAATTTTCACTCTCTCATACTTTCATATACTCTCACATAATCTCTCATAAACTCCTGCTTTCAAATACTCTTACTGGCTTCCTAGTCTCTGATTCTCATCTTTATTTAAGTTTCAATAAGAAGAAGGCTTGTTCAATGTCTCAAATTAGCAATTTGGTAGGTTTTGAAGCTTCATAAATTGAAATCAAGTTGGGATTCCCAAATTAGCAAATCGAGTAAGTGGTAATTAATTTTCATATTTTTAGGGTTTTAACATTTCAAAATTTTAAAGTGGTTGGTTCTTCTCAAAATCTCTTTCCCTACAACTATGAAAAGGTCTTCCATTTTAGGGTAGGCTCTCCCATTAGTCTATAACGCCCCTATCATCAATGAGACAATCTAACTTACTGTCTCAGTGCAACAGATGGCCCAATTTTATGGTGCATCACTACCCACCAATTCAACATGTTTTCATGCCATTGACGAAAGACCTTTAGAGATGTCATTCTATGATAATCTCTATTATTATGCACTTATATTGTTTATGAGGGAATAATAAAAACAGTCTATAGGTTAGTTTAGGTCATACCAAAGTGACTCCCACTAACACACATAAAGTTAGGTTCAAATAGGTCCAGATAGGCTAAGGTTTTCACGGGATTCACCTCTTTGGAGAGGAAACAAGAGAATGGTTCATAATGTTGGAGATCATTCAATGCTCCATGGGACATCATGGCAATAAAGTGCATTGTGCAGGGCGTAGAGAACCACATAAAATCTTAAAATGGGCTAAAAATTTGTGACCCGTGTGCGAATTACATTCACATAACACATATCATCACATGTACTTGATCAAAATCAACTTAAAGCTTATAAAACATAGGCCCATTTAGATTGACACACTATCAGCCGCCCATTATTGGACCCATTTATCAAATAATATATGTGTTGGTATATAAGATCAACTACAAAAGCAATTCAATCCACATAGTAGTCCATTCTAAATGGGTGTATCTTGTTTGAATCTAAACACAATTGGGTTTTACAAGCATGGGACGAACGAGTCCATGTAATGGCCCATCAAACCATTTGATATGGTCTGTAATTGATCACTTAATCAGTGATTTAAAAGGCTATTATCAGTCCCAAAAGAACTCTAAGTTCAGCCCATATAGAGTGGACCAAAAGTAGGTCAAATCAGCTTAGGGTTTGGTGTCCAAACCATGCACCAAATTCAAGTCAATGATCTGAAAGATTTCAATTATGATTCACAATCAAATTATCATATATAATAAGCATTAAGAAACTCAAAAATTAAAGCTAGTAGGGCTGTGAGTGTGATGATCCGAATCTAATCCAAACAAAACTTCAAAAACACATCAGCTTCTCCTATGTACATCAAACTTCTTTCTCTAAAAGCACTACGATCCCTAGTTGTTTCTCCAATGTTAATCACCTGAGAAAATCCTAATTTTTTAATGCTTACATCAAGAAAAATCTAACACATTTTGCCTAAGAAAAATAAAAAAAAATTAATTACAAATTATGAATATATGTCAAAATTGCATGGTGTGCATCAATATTGCACCTAATAAAGAATTTCATCTCCATCACACTCCAACCCATAAATTCAAGATTTCATCATAGAATTATTCCTAGTACCAAAAAATATAAAGATTATAATCACAAGCGCAAAACTGAGAACCAAATTTTCAGTTCACAAGTTAACTAGGTCAAATCGGCTAGACTAGTTTAGGTCGATTTGATCTTTGTTTCAAATCTAATTTAGTTCAGTCGAAGAACTAAACCTAGTTCTATAATACCACTATTGGTTAGTTTTGAAATCATATTTCACATGGCTGAACCAGATCTAGTGACTAGAAAAATTATAAAAAAAAATTCCAACCCAACTTAGGAATTGATTTCTCGGTAATTTGAAATCTAAATTTTTTGGATCGATCACACACTAATTCAGACCAGATTTGAAACCCAAATTAGATGCTGATCATACTTGATATGAAATCAACAAAAGCAGCTCCCCGAGTGGTAGTTAACGCTCAATATCAAACCTAGACCGGCCTCTTGCTAAATATGACGCAATAGTGTGCCTAAAGACGATTCAACAATGAAGTCTCAACAAATCGAACTCCAACCTTAGATTAATGCAACTGTGTGAACCTTGATATGATATTTTTCTCCAAAACCACAACTAAGGACTAAAGAGAATTAACCCCTACAGTGGTTGGTTCGAACTAGGGTTTATGGGGTGCAAGGAAAGAGAGAAAGAGTGCAAAAGAGTGGGGAGAATTGGAATGGTTTGCCCCCTCCCTCTCATCCCTTATATAGAAAACTCTCCTAAGTAATCCTATTAGGGTAATCCAAATTATATTTGGATTAGATTTATCTTTAATTAGATAAGTATTATCTTTTTACTTAAGAGGACGGGTGCTCCATATCTAGATCCATACCCATTTTTTATCCAACTTAAGTTGTCGTGTGATCTCTTAACTAATATATTAGTAATGCGCCTAAGTTAAAAAAAAAAAAACTATTTTTAAATAAAAAAATTTCTTTCTCAATCAAAACTATTTTTAAATAAAAAATCATTTCATATTAAATGTGTATGTCACATTATAAGTTTATGTGTACAAGAAACTTTTTAAGATGTTCATGTCATATTAGATGTGCATGTGAACACATAAGTTTAAAATGTAACATGCACATCTAATATGAAATAATTTTCCCTTTAAAAATCTTTTTAATTGACATTTTAAAATATTTACAACTGAATCATTATTACTAACAATATCAAGAGTAATAAAGATTTTTAATTTCAATACCATAAGTATGTAAAGTATTAAAAGGCCACTTGTTTAGAAGTTACAAGTATAGCAGACACATTTGGAACGAGTTACCCCCTCAAAGATGGCTGAACACTAATCTCCAACAGCTTAGAGCTAGGGACCTTGTTATTTTCTCTTATGTTAACAGACTAATATAGAATTCAAGAAACCAGAAAATTTTCAATAACAAAAATACAAGCCCCACTTCTTTATCTCTAGAAAATTCATATGTGGATAATAATACTGTTGCTTTAGACTCTAATAATTCTGTTAAGAAGAGTGCTACCAAAAAAATTTGGAAAGATATCATATGAAAACCTTTAGAAGCTCAACGAGTCAAACTTAACACTAATGGGGCTGCCAAAGGAAACAATGGTGGAGCATCGACCATTGGAATTCTTCATGATCATTTGGGCAGGTGGAAAGGTAGATACATCGCCTACATCAGCAGTGCTACCAATGATAAGGCCCAACTTTGGACTATTTGTGAAGGCCTCAAGCTAGCTTGGTATCTAGGGCATAGGAATGTTATTTTGGAATTGAACTCTCTTTCCACAACCTAACTCCTCAATGACACTAATAACATACCCTAGAGCTTAACTAGTCTAAAGGAGGATGTGAACGATTTACTCCAAAGAGACAGAGACCCAAAGCAAACACTGCTACATAGAATCCAATCGATGTGTGAATTTCATGGCTAATTTAGCATTGAACTTAAAAGAAAGTTTCAAGTTTTTTGACTCCTTGCCTTTGGGGATTAATCATCTCCTTTTAGTTGTTGCAATGGGGGTCTCTACCCCAAGACATTGTCTTTTAGATTAGGCTCTATGCCTACTTGTATTTTGTTTTGTTTCTTTTAACTATTAGATATATCAAAACAAGTATTTAAAATACTTGCAACAGTTGTAGGGCCAATATGTGGCCCATCAGGTTTTGTAAAACTTAAAAATTATTTTTTGTAAAATCCATGATTCATCAATAAAATGCCTTGTGACATAAATATAACTAATATTATATTTGGGAGTTCAAATATCATATGTAAGTGAAATTTTAGAATTAAGATTTGGCATAGTAGGAATTAAATTTTGTTTATATGAATAAAAAATTTTAAAGCATATGTTATAATAGTATTTTTTGGAAACATTTTTAAGTTGAGGATTTACATATTGTTGTAAAAATCTTTCAACCCTAGGGTCTTCAACTAATAAAAAAGGATC